GGCAAAAATAATATGTAGGCTTTTCAACACTGAATCGGAATTACCGGCTTGCAATGTCTTTTTGTCATAGATTCTGTGTATTACTTCTCACCGAGTTTTGAGTTGGGTCAAGAGTTAGGTAGAAGAAACCATGAGAAAGGCAAGAAAAGTAAGATCCAATGTGTATCTATCTAATGATGCGTGAAATTCCGAAAATCTAACATGTCACCACTAGAATTGCACCAGTAATACAAATTACCACAATATAAATAAATATGTCCAGACTCATTTCTTCAGTAGGCGCGCCATGGATGTTGCTGCATTTTATTTAAAATAACTGTAAAGCGCCTCTATAATGAAGATTGTGAATGAGTAATATAATTTGCATAAACATAATTTTTCATTCTATCGATAGTCTCAGTTTATATTGCAAAAATTTCATATTTTAAGTATTTTATTGTCACGCTTTGAGATTTCGATGTTCTTGTATTTTGTTCAAGTAAATAGAATTTGATTTGTTCTCAAATGAATTAATTCAAAAAAGACCGAATTATTTCAAAAAGTCTGACTTTTTTGACTTTTTTTATTAAACTCATGACTTATTCCAACCCTGGTGGAAATCGAATAACTGCACTTCATTTGTCTTTAAGAAACTTATATGGATGAACATTCTCACCTGTGGAATCCCTGCGACTCGCCCACAGGACTCAACGAGAAAGGGGGCGTGGCGAACGACGAGTTTGTCGTGTCTGTCAAACTGTCGGCGCTGGGCGATGTCACCACCAACAGCTGCGCGCTGACGTCTTTCCCGTTGAAGCCGTTTTGGGGTTTCTGCAGCTGGAAAGGCAGGTTCTGGTAGGTGATCAGCTCGTTCTGCATCGTGTTCGTCGCCAGGCTGTTCGTGAAATCCTGGAAACGTAACGACAACGAGTCATAGCTGGTTTGTTTTATAAAGATAGTGAAATGATTGTGAATGGAAATTACTAGAAGAATCGTAGTAGACAAGTCGATCTAGAAATAATATTTTACGGGGTGGTAATCGGTTGTTATTTCTAGAGAACTATCCTGTTTATAAATTGTCGAGTAAATTGTGGTTTCTTATCTCAATACAATAATTCTATTTTTTATTGAGAAATCACCTGGTATTCCACCAAAATATTTGAATAACTCGTAAATTTTGTTGGCTGAACCTATACTTATTTCATGCCGACCGCTTCAAGTTTTCTTTCCATTTTTGTGAGAGTATTCGACTATTTGATACAAATGCCAATGAAGTTTGAGCCCTGAAATATTATTACTGATGAATTTATCTGCTGATGTCATTTCTCTACAAAAACTCAAATATCTCGAAAACGGTGACAATTTTTGTATCTTGATGAGAGTACCGTTCCTATGTTTTTTTTTTCGCTCTTTCAAATGCTTCACTTTTCACTTCAATTTTTTCACCAGAAAGAATAGGTACTAGGAATAAAGTGGTCTCGAAAAATCATGACCCACCCTCCAAAAACACTCTGTATAACAATATCAGAAATGTAGAAGTGTATCAGAAAAATATATATCATCAACATAGATGTATGCAGGAAATTTTAATCTGGTGACTTTTTCCGTTAAAAAGTTATGAGGGAAACAATATCTCAAAAGGAAAGGTGATATGACTATAAACAAGACTATAAACAACTTCGATAATCAATTGTTTTTCTATCTTTTCTGGTTTTCCAGATAAGGAGGTGCCACATGTTATGTGGAATAATAGCTAGATAGATAGTTTATTGGTCTCTTAGATTTATTGTGAATACATATAAGCTAAGGCGATATATGAAGAACTCTAAACTAATGGCTGTAAACTAATGGCTGTAAGAGAAAAAATACTGAAGAAAAAATACTAAGTAGATAGGGTAGACATGGGTGAATACAGATAGTAAACAACTTAGCACAACCACATGAATTATAATGAGAACTAACAAACATGAAACACTGAAATCATATTTTAGATGTCAAGTAACAGTATCATTTAGTTTTGGGTCGAAGGACATCTATGTATTCCTCTATTGTAAAGAATATATTCGAGAAAAGGAAAGATCGCAGGTGTTTTTTGAAACTGTTGAAATCCAAAACCTTTAGTTAGGAAGGTAGTACATTATAAAGAATCACATCAAGAGAATTTTTGTTGGATTTTTGCAGTCTGTATTTCACAGGTCTCATTAATTGCTTGCTTCTAGTATTGTAATCATGGAAGTCAGCTTTTATATCATGTTTACTTTTGTTCTTATGTACCTCAAGGATTGACTGGAATATATAAATCAAGGTTACCGTCATGAGTTAGAAAATGAGGTCTACAAGAGTCAGCATAACCTATACCAGCTAGGATTTTCACTGATTTTTTTTTGTAAAATGAAGACATCCTTGGCGTGTCCGCTGTTTCCCCAGAGTATTGCGCCATAGGAGATACGCGAATGAAAGAAAGCATAATAAGCTAATAATAGGGCATGAGGACTGATAATAGTTCTCAATTTCAGTCGTAGATATATGTATTTTGCTAAATTTACACGAAGCTGCTCCATGTGAGTTGACCAATTTAGTTTGTCATCAAGAGTGATGCTAAGCAGTTTCACATTATTGCCAGACAACGATATGTTGTGTTTTATTATTGTTCAACTTTAGGTTGTTTACTCTGAAGCATGTTTCAGCATTTTCTTGTGCCAGTTTTATATTATTCATCAGGTCTGACCTATTTTTACACGAGCTGTGTCATCCGCGAAAGCAACACAGCCATATGGAGATATATATGGGAGGTCATTTATATATATGATAAATAATAATGGGCCCAGCACTGAACCCTGTGGAACCCCATATTTCATCATCACGAATTCGGATACACTATTTGAGTTCAATGCAATGATGAGTGTGAGAGTGACTCCCCTGATACCGAACTCCTCAAGTTTTTTGATAAATAAGGAGTGTGACAAACAATCGAATGCTTTTGTCAAGTCACATATAGCAGCTGCAGTGTGTTAACCCTTTTCGAATCCTTCACCGAAAGAAAAATATCAGTAATAATTTTCAAATATTTGTTAACGCCAAATTTGTTCACTACTAATTAGCCATATTCATAATTGAACAGGCTTATTCAACAAAATTGTACCTGTTTCTATGCTTCATTAATTAACAATAAATGATTCATTATTGTCATATTTGTTCATTGTGAAAATTATTTAATAATTAACAATTCATCTATTACGCCGATTTACGAAGTGATAATCAATAAGATAAATTTATAATTATAATATGATTTGGTGATAATTAACAATGTTAATGTTTTTATTTATTATCATACATTTGTTTATTATGAATATGCGTAATGTAAAGGATAACAATGGATATTTCATTTCATTCTCCCTTTGGTAAATATAATAATTTATTTGGTAATAATTAAGAAACTGCAATCGGTGGTGATTTCCTTGTGATTTCGACAAACGCGAAAGTTATGAAGTGTGATGGTTATATTAGTTCAATCTCTTATATGACAGTGCGGGTTTGTTTATATATTTGAACATGTATATTTACGTCTACAATCAGCTTCTTGAGACAATTTCATAAAGGTACGACATCACATATGAAAAAAATGGCAGAACACTATCAGTGCATTAGTGCAATCTATTATACCTACAACATTTAGTATCTTTAAAAAAAAAGTGGTGCATGTGGTGATAATCAATCAATATTGAAACATTTTGAACCTAAGTAGGTGCGAATACCTATATGTAGTATGCATGAATATTTTCTTATATAATTTGCTTTGCAGTAATTTGAAAGAAATACATACCCAAGGGCTGATGAGTTATAAGGTGATAGGTTTGAACGCAACCAGCCCTGATCGAATAGTTTTGTTATATACTCTTATATAAATAATATTCGTTAACTGTTACTAAATTTGTTATTGATATAAGGCTTAAAAACACCCCCTCTGGGTGATAATACATCAGGAAATTTAATGGAACAATGAGCAATTTTTCTGAACAAAATATTTATTTATTATCAATAAAAGGTTTCTTCTCATGCTGTACTTATGAATAAATATTTGTTCACTAAAAACAAAGATTTTGAAAGAATAAATATCGTTTGGTGTGGGTGAAGAAATATATATTCTCAGTTAATAAATGAATATTATCATGAAATAATCATAATTTAACCATGCACGAGGCTTATTCATGGGGTCGTGAACAAATAATTGGTTTTTTTCAAACAAACGTTTAATAAGCCATATTTAAATAACGGATTGGGTAACAGTTACTTATATTTATTTATTACAACCAAACTGTTCTTTCAGTCAATGATTTCCTGATACCCTTTACTCTATTACCTGCAACTTGTGCGCCGACCCGTACCCATTCGCCTCCCCCGTCACGCTGACCTTGGGCGTCTTCAGGATGCCCCGCTTGGGCGGCTTCGGCGGCACGGGCGGCACCCCGGGCGGGTTCAGCGAATTCAGACTGGTCTCCGAGCTGTCCGACTGCGTGTACCCCTCCTGCTGGAGCGGGGGGTGGGGGTAGCGATCGTGGGAGGGATTCGGCGAGGCGGGCGATTCTGTGCGCGGCGGCTCGAGGCTGGCGAGGAAGTCGGCCGTGTAGTCGGCCGTGATGCCCGACGGGAGTTTATCTTTCTCTTTGCGGCGGCCGCGGATCTTCAGCGATCGCCTCAACTGGAAAGTAACCATAGACGTACAGTGTGACCCACTTCTAATGGAAACACTCCTGTATTTTCATAATTTTCCAATATGGCGCGTACTGAATAGACGTGTGCTCGTGTGCTCCTAGTAAAATTTAAAATAAATCAGTGAAAGCGGTGTGATTCTTTCTCCCAAAAACTTCTATAACAGCAAGTCTGGTGGCTATACTATTGCTGATGTAATAATTGTGAATTTCAACAAAATGGTTATTACAAGAGAAATTCGTGAGGAGATTGAAGCAGCAGTAAATTCTTCATTAACTCGGTGTTTGAAAGACGCAAATTTTATAAAAACTATGGTCGACAATGTGTCGAATGCTGTTATAAAAAGTATCGATAAAAAGTTCAGTCAAATTGAACAAAAAGTGACCCATTTGCAAGATGAATTAGCTGCTGTGAAAAAGTCGATTGATAACATGGTGAAAAGAAGTAAGGATGATGCTAGTAAACTTATACAACAAAATGGAATTCTAGAGAAAAAATTAGATAACATAGACCAGGACAGAAGAAAGAAAAATCTGAGAGTTTTCAATGTTAAAGAAAAAGATAAAGAAAATACCAGAGAAGAAATACTTGCACTACTGAGAACGAAACTGGCAATAAACCTCTCTACAAATGACATAGTTATATGCTACAGAGTGGGAAAACAGGAAGAAGGAAGAAAACCAAGAGGGATATTTTTGAAACTCAAAGACTTCAACATGAAACAGGAGATATACAGAAAGAAAAAATTGCTCAAAGGTACCGGTGTAGTCATACGCGAAGACCTAACACACCATAGAATTGAATTACTAGCTCATGCGGTTGAAAAAACATCTCTACAAAGTGTTTGGACCGATAAAGGCATAATATATGTAAACATTGATAACAAAATTTCAATAATAAAATCACGAGAAGAATTTGATAAACTTTTCTGAATTAAATATGTCCATTAGATCAAATACTCTGTTTGCTCATATTTCTCTATCTATTATTTATAAATAAATAAATTCTTTATTTCAGCAAGACCAATTTCACATTTTATGTATTTGCTATTATTATAATATTTAGATACTAGGTGTATACACACAATGGATTTATTCAAACTATAAATTCATGTTAGATTTTTTAGAAATTCTAGATGAGGAGGAAGAAATAAGAACAAAAATTTGTGGAAATTTACAGGAATGTTTCGAAAAAGAAGAAGAAGGATTTATAGGTATTGGTATAATACACTTCAACATACGAAGTATAAAAAAGCACTTTGATGAGTTGTTAGTATACCTAGAGTCAGGGAAGGATAATCTTAATATAATAATCTTATCAGAAACATGGAATATTGAAGAAGTGAGTATTTACAGTATACCAAACTACACTATTTATTATAATGACTCTAAAGTGAATCAAAACGATGGCCTCATTATTTATGTAAAAAACAGTATTATTGCAAATGTTGAAATCGTTCCTTTAGCTGAGACAAAACTACTGAGACTAACTTTTGAAACCAGTGGCGTAACAATCGGTATAACTGCTTCTTACAAGCCCCCATCTATAAACGTACAAACATATTTGGATGACTTAGAACAATTTCTCATGAATTCCAGCAAAAACTATCTTGAGATCTTCATGGGCGATATCAATATTAACTTGAAGGACATTCTCACGCAACACACAATCAGATACTCAAATATACTTGCTGAACATGGCTTCATATCATACATTAATGAACCTACTAGAATAACAGAAGGGACAAGTACTATCATTGACCATATATTTGTAAGGAAAGAAAATAGCAAAAAAAATGAATTTTCAATGAAGTCTAATATAATTCAAACTGATATGACAGATCATTATGCAATCTTACTTACGCTAAGCGTAAAACGAAAAAATAATTTAACCATGAATCGGCAAAGTGATATCATAAAAAAAATTGATTACATAAGACTAACTTCACTAATGCAACAAGAGAATTGGTCTAGTATTTTGAACTGTGATGATGTACAACTTGCATATGATCGTTTCATAAGCAAATTTAAGAAATATACAGATGAGGCAACCAAGGTTACGATATTGAATAGTAATAAAAATAGACACATCAAACCTTGGATCACCTCAGGTCTGATTAACTCTATAAAATATCGAGATTATCTCAAGAAAACTTGGAACCGAACTAAAACAACTAAGGCTGAGAATGAATATAAAAATCATAGGAACGAGCTTAATAGGCTACTAAAGCGAACTAAAAATCACTACTACAGGAATGAATTGAATAAAGCAAATGGAGACTGTAAAAAAACCTGGAAAATCATCAAAGACATTTCGAATACTGATGGTGCTAGAAATAACGTCCAAAATATATCCATAATAAACGAAAATGGTGATAAAATAATCGATAACAATCAGAAAGCAAATTTGTTCAACGACTATTTCATTAGCGTTGGACAGAAAATGATGGAAAAAATTGCCAGAGGTCATTTAAATAACGGGTTCCTCAAAGATAAATCTCCTAAATCAACTATGTTTTTGAAACCCGTCAATGAAAATGAAATAGTTATTATAATTTCGAATCTTAAAAATAACTGCTCTCCAGGTCCCGATGGTTTCTCAGCTAAGATGATAAAACATATTCATTTGCATATCATAACTCCCTTGGTTCACATAATAAACTTATCATTTCATACAGGATACCTGCCGTCTCAGTGGAAAGAATCAGTAGTAACTCCAGTGCATAAGTCAGGTAATAAAAATCAATTGAACAATTACAGACCCATATCTGTAATTAATAATTTTGCAAAAATTTTCGAACAGAGTCTGAAAACAAGACTAATATCATTTTTTGAAAGCCAGTCTATTATAACTGAACACCAATTTGGCTTTCGGAGCAAGTTGAGTACTGAAAATGCTATAATGGATCTTGTCGAAAGAGCTGTTGACTCCTTGGACAAATCGAAGAAATGTTTATCCATATTTCTCGATTTGGCCAAGGCATTTGACACAGTATCACATAATTTACTTGTTGAAAAATTATACAAATATGGTGTGCGAGATAAAACACTGAAAGTTTTGCAGAATTATTTATCTAACAGATCACAGAAAGTTAAAATTGGTGACCAACTCAGTGATCCGCAGAAAGTTACTATTGGGGTTCCACAGGGTACGGTACTTGGACCTATACTATTCCTCATTTACATAAATAGTATCTCTGAAATAAATAATTTTTGTGGTCATCTTATCTGCTATGCTGACGACACGGCTATTGTTTATACGGGAGAGACATGGCAAAACGTCTATGAACTTGCTGAAGATGGTATGCAAAAAGTAAAGACCTGGCTTGACTATAATCTATTGACTCTAAATGTAAGTAAAACAAAATTCATGACCTTCGCACTCCAAATTACTGATCAACCACAAGAGAATAAAATAAAGATAAAAAGTTCTGACTGTGACAGACACAATCCATGTACATGTGAAACAATAGATAAGACCACAACCATGAAATACTTAGGTATTATACTAGACCAGCAACTTAAATGGGATGAACATGCAAATCATATTACAAAAAGATTGAGAAAACTTATTCACACGTTCTATAGCCTAAGAGACATCCTTGATAGAAAAAATTTAATAATATGTTATACTTCTTTGGCTGAGTCTGTGATAAGGTATTGTATAACAGCATGGGGTGGATCATTTCACGGTATATTGAACGGTTTGCAAACTGTACAAAACACTTTATTGAAAATTATATTTAAAAAAAGCAGATTACACTCAACTGAATCGTTATACAAAGAAACGGGATTGCTTAACATCAGATCTATATATACTTTCCAATGTCTAATATGGATCTACTCAAATATGGGAAAATTTCAAGAATCCAAATCCAAATTGAGTAGATTCACAACTACGCTGAAACTCCCACTGTTCCACAAGACTCGAACACAGAGATTCATTTTTTTCTACGGGCCAAAATTATATAACATGATGCCAGTGCATTTGAAAAAAATTAATAACCTACATAAATTCAAAAAAATGCTAAAAATTCACCTCACTGAAAATGCTTCGATAATCAATAATATATTTTGAACCTGAAGTAGTCAAAATTAATTCACTCGGAATATCCTCTCTCTCTCTCTTTCTCTCTTTAATTGCACGTGTATATATTATCATTCTATTCGAAACACAAACGTGATTGTTTCTTCCTCCGTCCTCTACTCATTCCATTGACCACATTTCTGTTGTCTAATACCTACTCGATGAAATGCATTCGTTTCAAATTTAGGGATTGGGCACAATACAAGCATATACTTATGCTTAGGTGTAATCCTCGTAATTTGAACGATTTTAATGTCAATAATGTACAATATGTAAATTTTGTTGTTTGTTATGGAATTATGAATAAATTGAAAATTGAAAAATTGAAATTGAAATTTTACGTAATCGTTGTGTAAGGATCTTCAAATTTGCTGGAGCGAGAGATATTCCAAAAATGAACTCTATGACCAAGTGGGGTCATCTTCAGTCATATACAGAACCACCCCAATTTCCGGAAAATGATATAAGGAGTCAAAATAGGTTAAAAATCACTTCGGATTCGGAATCAAGACGCCCAATTCACTAACTATTCATAGTTTTCCTAGAAAATTTTCATTTCAGAAAAATTAAACTTTGTCTCACTTCTCATGGAAGCACCCCCGTATCTCACGTAATTATTGAGGTAGGGTTCTGAAATTTGCAGGAGGAAGGGAAAGTCCAAAGATAAAGTCAATTATGTAAGATACGGGGGTGCTTCCGTAAAATAAAAAGTGCGACAAAATTTAATTTTTCTGAACTGAAGATTTTTCAGGAAGAATTTAAATAGCTGGCTGTTGGCGAGCAGTGTATATCACTGAAGATGACCCCGCTTGGTCATAGAGTGCATTTTTGGTATATCTCTCGCTCCAGCAGATTTCAGGATCCTTACTCAACGATTACGTAAGATACAGGGGTGTTTCCATTAGAAGTGGGTCACACTGTATAATAGTAGATTGTTTTATTAGGATCAAAAGTGACACTTTGTTTGACAAGCGAATGCAAAATTTGCGAGTCGAACAAAATCACTTTTGATCCGAATGAAACATGCTATTTTTTCTGCAACCGAAACAAATAACTCAAATAAATATGTGAAGTTACCACCAATACCGTGCCATATGTATGCAATGCAACAAATATTGAAAAATAATCCGTGTGGTGAGAACATTCTACCTGCATCAACAGCAGGTTCATTCAATTTTCAAGGATGTTCGAATTGTAGTTTCAATATAAATACAATCACAGAGTGACATATTTGTGTATGGACCAGGTGCTCTAATGGCAAATACCGCATAAGTCTATAGAAACAAGACTTGGAAAATGTTAGGTTAGTGAGCACATCAACAATAAGAATAGCAATTATGTTTTTCTCTCCGTGGTACAATGTTTGTCGCTTGATAATCAAATGAAGGTTAACAATATCGTTGTTTGAGACAAAAAACTATTGCTTGTCGTGATTATCCAAAAACAAGTTATCCATCCCGAGAATAACGAATGAAATACAGATCAAGCAAGTATTTGAATCTTGAAGGCTTCCCTGATCAAAACAAAAATACTTTACTGAGATGTTAATAATTCCAATACTAAACTATAATGAGGTGTATTTATATCTCCAGCATGGGTATGAAATGCCAAATCTGCTGAAATCGGGAACAAATCAGGTATATATGCCTCTCAACCCAAATAACCAACCGTCACAATGTTGTTTATTCTTGATGACGTCCAGTAGATCCTTTTTAGTTCCTAGGAGCTAAAGTTCAACTTTAGCTCCTAGGAACTAAAATTCAACTTTAGCTCCTAGGAACTAAATATGTTGCCTAGCAACATACCTATTTTTGTGTCAGTAATAGAAACGTCAATTTAAGAGCTA